ATAGACTGTTTTGTTATCAATACTTTCTTCTTAATTATTTTGAGCATTACAATTTTGATACTTAGTTTGTATCAATTGAACATAAAGCTTATTATTAGTCTTTCTTTTAAAAATTAGTATCTCAACCTCAAGGAATTTTGTGGTAATTAAAAAGTGTCCCGAATATGAGATGAGGACTCAATAAACCCCTTTCTTTGTCATAATACTTCAAACTCACCAACTGGATGATTTAAATTTAGAAGAAATGAAAAATTTCACATCTTCCCACTGATTAGCCAATATTACTGAAAAAAAATCTTAAATATGATCACCCTTTGTGTTATTGAAGACACTGATGAGAAGAAATATTTAACTAATTAAGTTGAACATAATTATATTCAAATTGAAAGTCCCTGAAGGTTATCACAAAACTCCAACAACTCTGTATCTTTTTTTGTTTGTTTGTTTGTTTTTGAGCAGAGTTCCACTCTTGTTGCCCAGGCTAGAGTGCAATGGCGCTATCTCGGCTCACTGCAACCTCCACCTCCCAGGTTCAAGTGATTCTCCTGCCTCAGTCTCCCAAGTAGCTGGGATTACAGGCATGCACCACCATGCCTGGCTAATTTTGTGTTTTTCATAGAGACGGGGTTTCTCCATGTTAGTCAGGATGGTCTCGAACTCCCAACCTCAGGTGATCCACCCGCTTCAGACTCCCAAAATGCTAGGATTACAGGTGTGAGCTGCCACGCCTGGCCCAACTCCATATCTTAAATAGCCATGGGGGTCCAATTTAATAAAGCTTAAATAGATACACAGATGAGGAGGAAATATCCCAGCCCAAATGATGAGGGTTAGTTTCTTCAAAACCCCCAAAACATATCCCCTAAAAATGAGCTTACCCTGTTTAGAACCTGGCAGTCTCCAGTCCCCATACTTACGAACTCAAGGATAATTAAATGGTCTGTATCATTTAATATTACAATAGCTAATGTGAATAAATGGAATTCTACTTGTACATGATAGGCTTTACCACTATGAAATGTTTTTACACAAGGACTAAACTGGCACTATGATCAAACTAAAATAGATTTCTTTTTTCAATAGTGGGGTCTGGCTTTGTTGCCTACACTGGAGTGCAGTAGCACAATCACAGTTCTGTATTGCCTGTAACTCCTGGGCTCAAGGGATTCTCCTGTCTCAGCTTCCTGAGTACCTGGGACGATAGGGACGTGCCACCATGCCTGCCTATTTTTTCTTTCTTTTTCTTTTTTTTTTTTTTTTTTGTAGAGTCAGGGTCTTGCTCAGGCTGGTTTCAAACTTCTGGCCTCAAATTATCCTGCTGCCTCGGCCTTCTGAAGCACTGGGTTTGTGAGCCGCCATACCTGGCCAGAGATTATTAAATATAGTATTAGGGGGAATAAAAATTAGGACTACAATTGTAAACTCTTCTGATATAGATACAATTACTGATAAACTTAGTGCCTTGGACAAATTTGCAGAAAGATGCAAACATGATAGAATCAAAATCTAAACAAGATATGAAAATAAAGAAAAACAAAAATGGAATTGGGAAAGCATTTGGAATTTAACATCTGGTAATAAAATCCTATTGCAAAAAAAATATATAGTAAAGAATTTTCAGAAACCTTAACTTGCATGAGGACCACTGGTTATTCAACAACTACAATGTGTACTTGCTGGTACTGAAGTACAAGATTATACCTACTCAGGCAAACAATTAGGTATGGACATACTACTGTCTATGTAGAGATTAAATGATGGTGTAAAATGATTGATCATATTATAGGTAAGAGAGCCAAAATTTGGCATCGCAGATTGAAATTTATGAAAACTGAAATAAACGAATTTCACTAAAGTACATTTTCTTATGTACATAGTTTATAATGTATTATATAATTCATGAATCTTCAAAAGAAACATATTGAGCTATTCAATAAAAATTTACATTACAGCTTTAGGCCACCGAGCCCCATCTGTTGATTATGTACTTGGTATAAATTGGGGGGAAAAAAAAAACAAAACGAGAGTGAAAACTAAGCCTCAAAGTATAAAGCATGTAGCAAAACAGACTACTAAAATTATTCTCAATTTCTAACCCTGTTATATATGGAGAATTCTTATGTGGAGGTAATAAAGAATCTGTTTAAATATGCACTAGTGGTATGACAGTTTCAAATAGCCCACTGAACTAGGAAATATTCGCTACCAAGGAGGTCAGGTATACCGATCTGGTCAACCTGGACATTGACATGAGATGTTCTTATGGAGTGACAGCTCCACTTGATGCTATCCTGTCACAAAATATTACTACCTCATGTTGATATCATTAACAGTTGAATACAGAAAGTAAGGTCTCTCTACAAGACAAGACCAACATCTCTGTAATATAAATGGGACTCTGAGTGTAATAGATTTAGGGTTTCTGAAAGAATTTTGAAAGTTAAGGATCCAACACCTGTAATCCCAGCACTTTGGGAGGCTGAGGCGGCTGGATCACGAGGTCAAAAGATTGAGACCATCCTAGCCAACATGGTGAAACCCCGTCTACTAAAAATACAAAAAAAAATCAGCTGGACATGGTGGCACACACCTGTAATCCCCGCTACTGGGGAGGCTAAGGCAGGAGAATCACTTGAACTGGGGAGGCAGAGGCTGCAGTGAGCCGAGATCGTGCCACTGCACTCCGGCCTGGCAACAGAGGGAGACTCTGTCTCAGAAAAAAAATAAGAAAAAGAAAAAGACAGTTAAAGATCCTAAAAATTCCAACAAAATTGGAATATGAGACTGAGTAAATTCAATTCCAGCTAAACCCAGAATTGATTATGTTGATGAACACATGAATTTAATGTGTGTGAAAACATGTGAACTCCTCGTTGTCAGTCTAATGAGAGTGAGAGCAAAAAACACATCAAAGATGCAGGGAAATAACAATACAGAATAGGCTCATAACTGCATTCTAGATACTGGGATTGCTTTCTATTAAGGTATATAATTTTAGATCCTTGAGGAATCGCCACACTGTCTTCCACAATGGTTGAACTAGTTTACAGTCCCAGCAACAGTATAGAAGTGTTCCTATTTCTCCACATCCTCTCCAGCACCTGTTGTTTCCTGACTTTTTAATGATCGCCATTCTAACTGGTGTGAGATGGTATCTCATTATGGTTTTGATTTGCATTTCTCTGATGGCCAGTGATGATGAGCATTTTCTCATGTGTCTGTTGGCTGCATAAATGTCTTCTTTTGAGAAGTGTCTGTTCATATCCTTTACCCACTTTTTGATGGGGTTGTTTTTTTCTTCTAAATTTGTTTGAGTTCTTTGTAGGTTCTGGATATTAGCCCTTTGTCAGATGAATAGATTGCAAAAATTTTCTCCCATTCTGTAGGTTGCCTGTTCACTCTGATGGTAGTTTCTTTTGCTGTGCAGAAGCTCTTTAGTTTAATTAGATCCCGTTTGTCAATTTTGGCTTTTGTTGCTATTGCTTTTGGTGTTTTAGACATGAAGTTCTTGCCCATGCGTATATCCTAAATGGTATTGAACTAGAAATACCATTTGACCCAGCCATCCCATTATTGGGTATATACCCAAAGGATTATAAATCATGCTGCTATATAGACACATGCACACATATGTTTATTGCAGCACTATTCACAATAGCAAAGACTTGGAACCAACCCAAATGTCCATCAATGAAAGACAGGATTAAGAAAATGTGGCACATACACACCATGGAATACTATGCAGCTGTAAAAAAGGATGAGTTAATGTCCTTTGTAGGGACATGGATGCAGCTGGAAACCATCATTCTCAGCAAACTATTACAAGAACAGAAAACCAAAACCACATGTTCTCTCTCATAGGTGGGAAGTGAACAATGAGGACACTTGGACACAGGAAGGGGAACATCACACACCAGGGCCTGTTGTGGGGCGGGGGCAGAGGGGAGGGATAGCATTAGGAGATACACCTAATGTAAATGTTGAGTTAATGGGTGCAGCACACCAACATGGCACATGTATACATATGTAACCTGCATGTTGTGCACATGTACCCTAGAACATAAAGTGTAATAATAAAAAAGGTATGTAATTTTAGAATATCTCACAAATAGCCCATGCAAAATCCTGCTGAAAGGCAACCATAAATAGAGAAAGAATATGTAAAAAAGTGGCATGGTCTAGTATATGCCAAACAAGGCAAGGGTGTATAAAAACCTCAAGGTCCCAGTATGAGAATCGTGCTTGTATTGCACACCCATGAAAAAGTCTTCTAAAAATTATTTTTTAAAAACTACATAGAATGGGTAAGATGAGAAAAAGGCATAAAATGGTCAAAAACACTGGGAGAATTCAAGGTTAATTTTGACAATGGTAATACAAATAGAAAAACTGACAAAAAAGAAAATATGTCTTACATTCGAAAACATATAAGTAGTTGTATACAAATGAAGACACGTACCAAAAACAAATTACAAAATATGAATCCATATATATATATATAAAATGTACAATTTCAAACAATTCAAAAGTAAAAAGATGCAGGACAATAAAATATTCACAAACACGCTCGAAAAATAAATGCTGACGTCCGAATTAGACCAGTTCAACAGAAGTGTGGGGCGTGGATGGGGACCTACCTCAAAAATCACGTGGCGCCCAGGCCAAGGCTTCGATTTCCCGTGCACGCTTGGAGAGGATGCCTGGGAGGGCGCCCACCATGCCCAGGGGCAGGCTATGTGACTGCCAGGTATGCAGCTGCAAGTGGTTTCTGGGCCAGCCTCTCTGGTTGGTCATGACCTGGTTGGTGGCCCTAGCCTGTGCCGCCTGGTCCTGGAGTAGCACAGGGGGTCTAGCTGGGGGAGCCGGCTTGGGCAGCGGAGGTGCTCCCGGGGCCCTGCAGTAGGGCAAACCCTCTGTATCTTGGGCGAGCCCAGTTACCCGCCTGCCCTGTCATTCCAGGGTTGGGTGGCAGGGAGGGCCAAGGGTGTCTCGCATCTGTGATGGGTCAGTGTTTCCAGCAAGTGAGTCTATGGAGAAAGAGCCTACCTGAGTCTGCGCACCCTACTGCCTTCATGAGGTTCTGTTTGGACACCTGTCCTACTCCTGTCCCCCCAGATGGTGACCGAGGAGGAAGACTTGCGTTGGGCCCAATGGCGCTGGGCCAGTGTCTGTCAGCCAGGTGCCAGCCCCTGGTGCGCTGAAGCTCAGGCCCTTCCCAGCGCCCTGGCCTCCTGCACTGAGCTGTGGTGAGCACATCCGGGTCCTGATGGATACATGCGCGGGGAGGGTTGTGCCCTGGGTTGGGTCGATGATGAGAACCTTATATTTTCTTGAAAAGAGGTGATGACTTAAAAATCATGCTCAATAGGATTACGCTGAGGCCCAGTCTAGGTGAGAATTTTGGAAGAGGATGCTGGGATCCAGAGGCCCCCGACAGGGCCCCTGTATTTTGGGCTACAGACCTAGAAGCCCTGAAGGGCATCTGGAGGGGGCCCAAGCCTGGCTCTGAGCTCCTCCATGAGGCAGTCCAGGCTCCCTGTGTGGGCATATGCTGGGGCTCTGGTTCCCTAGGGGCAGGGCATGTGGGTGGCTCCTCCCTGACCTGCATTCTCCCCTGTGTCTTTCAGTGAGCTCTTCCGCCCAGGCAGGGCCCTGGCGTTGACTGGCATAGGTGAGTGGATCCTGCTGGGGTCATGGGCCATGAGCCAGGCTGGTGGGGTTACCAAGGGTCAGCCTTTGGGACAGGAGGGTTTCCTTAGGGAGCCGACCTGACCTGAATCCCCACTGAGGAGGGCTAGGTTCTCCAGGAGGGCGGCTTCCTTGGGAATCTGACCCAAGGAGGATATATTCTCTAAAGCCTTGCAGCAGTGATGGTGGTCCAGGCAGCAAAGGATTCCTTCAACCCCACCCAGGGCAGTGCCCAGCTGAGACTCAGTGTGCAGGTCTGGCCTTGAGGACTGCCCAGGCCACATGAGGGGGTCCATAGGAGCTCCAGGGCACCACAGGGGTCACACAGGAGCTCTCCTTCCCCAGAGAGGGGTGAGCAATCCAGCCCATGGGGTCAGGCCTTTGGAGATTCAAGGAGTGGGCCCCACCTAGGACCCTGAATGGGACCGAGCCTTTGAGCAATGGGCCATCCCAGTGGTGCCTCTGAGCCTAGTGGGGGGCGATGCGGCTTCAAGGGGGTTGGGTCAAGGCTGAGCTCTGGCCGGTGCTTGGTAGTGCTGCAGGCTGGCCCTGGGACTCGCTGGCTTTGGGCAAAAGGGCCAGCCTGCATCCTGCTGGGGGTCACCCCTTCCCCGTGGGCAACTAGCGGAAAGGGTGGCATCCTTAGGTGTGAAGGCCCGCTGTCAAGGGTCTTGTCCTGGAAGTTTGCTTCCCAGGCTTCTTCTGATCCATGGACTCACCTCCAGGGTGGTGGGGTCTTGAGCCCGAGGAAAGGAGAAGATACCATGTGTTCCCCGATTGGCCGAATGTGGCTTGGCTCTGTGTTTGGGAGGTGTGTAGGGCATGGATGGGGACCCATCGGAGGACACATGTGGCCCGGGGCCCCAGGTTGCGATTTCCCATGCACACTTGGAGAGAAGGCTGGGTGGGTGCCCTCCACTCCCAGGCACAGGCTATGCAACTACCAGGTCTGCAGTGGCATGTGGCTTCCAGGTCAGCCTCCTTGGTTGGCCATGAGCAGGTCGGTTGCCCTGGCCTGTGCCCAGTGGTCTTGGAGTGGCCCAGGGGTCCTGCAGGGGAGCTGATGTGGGTAGTGGAGGTGCTTGTGGGGCCTGCAATAGAGCACAGCCCAGGTGTCTTGTGCGAGCTCGGTGACCCACCTGCCCTGTCCTAGGGTGCGGTGATGGGGAGGGCCAAGGGTCCCTTGTGTCCGCAATGGGTCAGTGTTCCCATCACATGGGTCCATGGAGGGAGAGCATGCATGAGCCAGCACCCCCCACCACCATCCCCCTATGGAGGCGTGAGGCCATGTTTGGACACATGTCCTCCTGTCCCCCAGACGGTGAGCCTGGAGGAAGACTTGCCTTGGGTCCACTGTCCCCGGGCCAATGTCCATCAGCCAGGTGCCCAGTCCCTGGTGCGCTGAAGCTCGGCCCTCCCTGGCACTCTGCTCTCCTGCGCTGAGCTGTGGTGAGCACATCCAGGTCCCGCTGGATGTTTGTGTCGGGAGGGGGTTGCCCTGGGTTGGGTCAATGATGAGAACCTTATATTTTCTTGAAGAGAGGTGATGACTTAAAAATCATGCTCAATAGGATTACACTGAGGCCCAGCCTAGGTGAGATTTTTGGAAGAGGACACTGGGATCCCCGGCAGGAGGGATTTGGGGCTGGAGACCTGGAGATCCTGAAGGGTATCTGCAGGGGCCCAACCCTGCGTCTGCGCTTGTCTGTGAGGCAGCCCAGTTTCCCTGTGCGGGCTTGGTGTCAATGCTCTGGTTCCCTGAGGCGGGGCACGTGGGTGACTCATCCCTGAAGTCCCGTTCTCCCTTTGTGTCTTTCAGTGAGCTCTTCCACCCAGGAGGACCCCTGGCCTTGAGTGGCATAGGTGAGTGGATCCTGCTGGGCTCATGGGCCATGGACCAGGCCACGTGGGACCACTGAGGGTCAGCCTTCAGGATGGGAGGGATTCCTCAGGGAGCCAACCTGAATCCCCACTGTGGAGGGATTGGTTCTCCAGGAGGGCCACCTCCTTGGGAATCTGACCCAAGGAGGACACCTTCCCTAAAGCCCTGCAGGAGTGACATTGGTCCAGGCAGGAAAGCGTTCCATTAGTCACACACAGGGCAGCTCCCAGCTGAGACTGGGTGCTAGGGTCTGGCCTTGAGGACTGCCCAGGCACATGAGGCTGGGTCCCAGGCTGCTATTTCCAGTGTGTGCTTGGAGAGGGAGCCCAGGTAGGCCCCCTCCCCGCGCAGGGGCAGGCTGTGCGTCTGCCAGGTCTGCAGCAGTGCCTGCCTTCAGGGCCAGCCTCCTTGGTGGGCCTGAGCTGGATAGTGGCCTTGGCCCCACCCAGGGGTCATGGTGCAGCCCTGGAATTGCAGGGGAGCCACCATGGGGAGTGGAAGTGCTGCAAGGGCCTGCAGTAGGACACAGCCTGGGCATCTTGCCCAAGCCCAGTGACCAGCCTGCCCTGTTTTCCAGGGTTCAGTGGCAGGGAAGACCAAGGGTCCCCTACGTCCATGACCAACACTGTTTCACATGGATCCCATCACCTGGGTCCATGGAGGGAAAGCATGTGTGAACAAGCACCCCCTGCCTCCTTTCCCGCATGGAGGCATGAGGTTCTGTTCAGACACTTTCCTCTGTCCCCCAGATGGTGACCTTGAAGGAGGACTTGCATTGGGCCCAATGGCCCAGGGCCAGTGTCTGTCAGCCAGGTGCCCAGCCCCTGCTGCACTGAAGTTTGGGCCCTTCCTGGCTCTCTGGTCTCTTGCACTGAGCTATGGTGAGTCCATCTGGGTCCTGCTGGATGCATGTGTGGGGAGGGGGGTGCCCTGGGTTGGGTCAATGATGAGAACCTTATATTGTCCTGAAGAGAGGTGATGACTTAAAAATCATGCTCAATAGGATTACGCTGAGGCCCGGCCTAGGTGAGAATGTTGGAAGAGGATGCTGGGATCCTGAGATCCCTGGCAGAGCTACTGTATTTTGGGATGGAGATCTGGCGACCCTGAAGGGCACCTGGGGGGCCCAACCCTGTCTCTACACTCCTCCATGAGGCAGCCCAGGCTCCCTGTGCAGGCTTGCTGTTGGCACTGTGGTTCCCTGGGGTGGGACACGTTGGTGGCAGCTCCCTGAGCCCCATGCTCCCTTTGTGTCTTTCAGTGAGCTCTTCCACCCAGGAGGGCCCCCTGACATTGACTGGCATAGGTGAGTAGATCCAGCTGGCATCATGGGCCATGGGCCAGGCCGCGGGGGGTTGCCAAGGGTCAGCCTTCGGGAAAGAAGGGTTTCCTCGGGGAGCCAACCTGAATCCCCACTGGGAAGAGATGGGTTCTCCAGGAGGGTGGCTTCCTGGGGAACAGGAACCAAGGAGGAGGATGCCTTCCCTGAAGCCCTGCAGGGGTGATGGTGGTCCAGGCAGGAAAGGGTTCTTTTAGTTCTACCCGGGGCAGCTCCCAGCTGAGTCTCAGGGCTTGCATCTGGACTGTCCTGACTGTATGTGGGGGCTACAGGGGTTCTGGGGTGCCTTGGGGGTCACACAGGAGCTCTCTGTCCCTAGAGAAAGGTAAAGGTGGGTGATCAGGCCCATGGAGTTGAGCTGTGGAGATTCAAGGATCGCACCTGACACATGGCCCTGAATGGAACCCACCCTGTTGAGCAATGGGCCAACCCATGGGCCTCTTTGAGCCTGAAGGGGGTCAGTGCTGTTTCACTGGGGTTAGATCGAGGCTAAGCTCTGGCTGGCGCCTGGTGGTGCTGCAGTCCAGCCCTTGGACTCATGGGCTTTGGGCCAAGGGGGCATCCCACGTCCCCCTGAAAGTCACCGCTTCCCTGTGGCTGGAAGTTATCCCTTCGCAGTGGGTTAGTGGCCTCCTGAAGTGGGAAGGCCCACTATTGAGGGTCTGGTCCTGGCAATTTGCTGCCCATGTTGCTTCTGAACCATGAAGACACCTCCAGTGTGGTAGGTCTTGGGCCCGAGGAAAGGAGAAGACACCGTGCCCTCCGATTAGTCCAGTGTGGCCAGGCTGTGTGTTTGCAAGGTGTGAGGGCATGGATGGAGACTCACCAGAGAAAGCACATGGCCCTGGGATCCCAGCTTGTGATTTCCAGTACGTGCTTGGATATGGCACATAGGTGGGTGCCCACCATGCACAGGGACTGGCTATGTGACTGCCAGCTCTGCAGCAGCATCAGGCATCCAGGCCAGTCTCCTTGGTTGACCATGAACTGGTTGGTGGCCCTGGCCTGTGCCCAGTAGTCCTGGGGTGACCCTGGTGTCATGCAGGGGAGCTGGCATGTGTAGTGGAGGTGCTTGTGTGGCCTGCAGTAGGATGCAGCCCTGGCTTGTAGCCTGAGCCCAGTGACCTGCCTGTCCTGTCGTTTCAGGGTTCAGTGGCGAAAAGAGCATCGGGTGCCCTGCGTCTGTGACGGGCCAGTATTCCACATGGATCTCATCACATGGTCCATGGAAGGCGAGCATCCCTGAGCTGGCACACCCCACCTTCTGCCCGCATGGAGGGGTGAGGTTGTGTTTGGACACTTGTCCTCTTCCTGTTCCTCGAGATGGTGACCCCGGATAAGGACTCCTGTTGGGCCCACTGTCCCCGGGCCAGTGTCCATCAGCCAGGTGCCTAGCCCCTGTTGCACTGAAGCTCTGGCCCTTCCTGTTGCCTTGGTCTCTGCGTTGAGCTTGGGTGAGCCCATCCGGGTGCCACTGGATGCCTAAGCAGGGAGGGGGTGCCCTGGGTTGGGTCGATGATGAGAACCTTATATTGTTCTGAAGAGAGGTGATGACTTAAAAATCATGCTCAATAGGATTACGCTGAGGCCCAGCCTAGGTGAGAATTTTGGAAGAGGACACTAGAATCCTGAGGTCCCTGACAGGGCCACACTGTATTTTAGGCTGAAGACCTCGAGGCCCTAAAGGGCATCTCATGCAGGAGCCCAGCCCTGTCTGTGCTCCTCCATTAGGCACACCAGGCTTCGTGTGTGGGCTTGGTGTCTGTGCTCAGCTTCCCTGGGGGTGGGACACGTTGGCGGCTCCTTCCTAAGCCCCATTATCCTCGGTGTCTTTCAGTGAGCTCTTCTGCCCAGCACACCCCCTAGGATTGACCAGCATAGGTGAGTGGACACTGCTGGTGTCATGGGCCATGAGCCAAGCGGTGGGCAGTCCCCAAGGGTCAGCCCTCAGGTCACCTGGGTTTCCTCAGGAGCCGACCTGAAGCGACTGGGGATGTGTCCTCCAGCAGGGAGGCTTCCTTGGGAACTGGACACAAGGCAGAGGCCTTCTCTGAAGCCCTGCAGGGGTGGCAGTGGTCCAGGGAGGAAAGGGTTTTCTCAGCCCCACGCAGGGCAGTGCCCAGCTCAGACTTGGTGCTCGGGTCAGGCCTCTAGGATGGCCAGGACACATGAGGGGGGCAACAAGAGCTCTGGGGCACCATGGGCATCTCATGGGGGCTCTCCAACCCTGGAGAAGGGCGGGCGATTCAGTCCGTGGGGTCGGGCCACGGAGATTCATGGTTGCAGCAAACCCATGACCCTCAATGGGACTGACCCTATAAGCAGTGGGCCCTCCCAGTGGCACCTCTTTGAGCCATCTGAGGGGCGGCGCTGTTTCTCTGAGGTTGGGTCAAGACTAGCTGTGGCCAGTGCCTGATGGTGGTCCAGTCTGTCTCTGGGACTCGTGGGCTTTTGGCCAAGGCTGTAGCCCGTATCCCACTGGGGGTCACCCCTTCCTTGTGGGCAAGTGGCGGTAATGGTGGCCTCCTGAGGTGGGAAGGTCCACAGTGGAAGGACCTTTCCTGGAAATTTGCAGTCTAGGCTGCTTCTCAGCCATTAGGACAACTCCAGAGGTCGGGGTCTTAGGCCCAAAGAAAGGAGAAGACACCATATGTCTCCCAGTTGGCTGAGTGTGGCCCCGCTCTGTGTGTGGGAGGTATTGTGTGGGGCATGGATTGGGACCCACCAGAGAAAGCTTGTGGCCCTGGAGCCCCAGGCTGCAATTTCCAGTGGACCTTGAGGAAAGAAGGGTGGGTGCCCTCCATGCACAGGGCAGGCTGTGCAACTGCCAGGTAGGCAGCAGCACGTGGTGTCCGGGCCAGCGTCCTTGGTTCGCCGTGAGCTGGTTGATGTCCATGGCCCCTGCCCAGGGGTCCAGGTGCTACCCGGGGTTGTGCAGGGGAGCTGGCATGGGCAATGGAGGTGCTCGAGGGGCCTGCAGTAGGGCATAGCCCAGGCATCTTGCCTGAACCCAGGAACCCACCTGCCCTGTCTTTCCATGGTTCAGTGGCTGGGAGGGCAAAGAGTCCCCCCCATCCATGACACATCAGTGTTTCCTATGAATCCTATCACATGGGTCCACAGAGAGAGAGCATGTGTGAGCTAGCACCTCCCACCCCCTTCCCCGCGTGGAGGCCCGAGCCCCTGGATGGACACATGTCCTCCTCCTGTCCCCCCAGATGGTGACTGCAAAGGAAGACTTGCTTTGGGACCACTGGTCCCAGGCCAGTGTCCACCAGCCAGGTGTCCAGCCCTTGGTGCACTTAAGCTCAAGCCCTTCCTGGTGCCCTGGTCTCCTGCCCTGAGCTGTGGTGAGCACATCTGGGTCCAGCTGGATGCATGTGCGGGGAGGGGAGTGCCCTGCGTTGGGTCAATGATGAGAACCTTAAATTGTCCTGAAGAGAGGTGATGACTTAAAAATCATGCTCAATAGGATTACGCTGAGGCCCAGCCTAGGTGAGAATTTTGGAAGAGGATGCTGAGATGCCAAGATCCCTGGCAGGGCTGCTGTATTTTTGGGCTGGAGACCTGGAGTCCCTGAAGTTCATCTTGG